TCCACACACAACAAAACTTTATGCTCACCTTCTTTGCTTGGCTTTGACCCCAGGTGCGGCAGTCAAGGTCATTTATTAAGGACCAGCTCTCCATTACCAATTCCTCTTCAATTGGGGCAGTGTTTTTGTCCCCCAGCGTTGGCATCAGTGTTAATAATTGTGTGGGTCTCTATTTCTCTTCATTACTACCATACTGACTGATAGATTCAACTTTTATCCATTTGAGTGGGATTCAAACCTATTTTTATGATAAACTAAGCTACTTTATCTTACAAGCATGTTTTCTTTTTTTTTTAATATTGTAATAGACTGTCCAGTATACTTTTTATTTTCACAGACCAGATACATTTTTTTTGTAATGTGCTATGGCATCTTTTTCCCAGGCTGCATTAGGAATCATGCAAATGGTCGAAGATACCCTTATTGAATATGCTCACACCAAACCTCTTCTTCCAAGTCAGCTGGTTCGATATAGAGAAGTTCAGCTCCCTGACAGTAAGTGGAAATGTTAAAACTTTAGGTATTCAGGGCTGGGGATGTGGCTCAAGCGGTAGTACGCTCACCTGGCATGCATGCGGCCCGGGTTCAATCCTTAGCACCACATACAAACAAACAAAGTGTCTGCCGAAAATTAAAAAATAAATATTAAAAATAAATAAATAAATAAAATAATATGAGTGATGACAGGTAGGTTGAATTCACTTTGATAATGATATATGATTTTATGACAAAGATCTCCTAGGATCCTTTACTTTTTATGGAAGTATGAGTAGAGAGATAATTCTTCCAGAAAATTCTCTGGAGGGGAGCCAAGGAGGTGAAATTGGAGGTGAGAGATGATTTTGAGAATGATACTAGCATTGACTGGTACTTGAGTATAGAAGAGTTAGGAATTAAATATATCACATTTAAAATATTGACTGGGAAGTATAAAATTTATTCATAGAAAGTAATAACTATTTCACTGGAAACCCATAATAATCTTTGGCAGAAAAGGTTTTAGTAAAGTTATAGGTGCAAATAACATATATTTATTATAAGAATATTTTCATAGCTGGGAGCTGGGGTTGTGGCTCAGTGGTAGAGTATACTCGCCTAGCATGCATGAGGCACTGGGTTCGATCCTCAGCACTACATAAATGTAAAATGAAGATATTGTGTCCACCTAAAACTAAAAAATAAATATTTAAAAAAAAAAGAATATTTTCATAGCTGGGCACAATAGCACACTCCCATAATCCTAGTGATTCAGGAGTCGGGCAGGAGAATCACAAGTCTGAGGCCAGCCTTGGAAATTTAGTGAGAACCTAGCTCAAAATAAAACTAAAATTGGGCTAGGGGTGTCACTCAGTTGTATGCTCCAGGTTAAATCCTCAATGCCACACATAAAAAAGAATGTTTTCTGGGGCTGGAGTTGTGGCTCAGCAGTAGAGCACTCGCTTAGCGTGTGTGGGGTGCTGGATTCATTCCTCAGTACCACGTAAAAATTAAAATAAAGGTATTATGTCCAACTACAACTAAAAAACAAAAGCAAAAAAAAAAAAAAAGAATGTTTTCATAGGGATCAACATCAATAATTGATTTTATTCATGTATTTGGGTTTGCAACATTGGGTAACTTTTACATTAACAATGATTTTTTGTTTGTTTGTTTGTTTTTACTACTGAGGATTGAACCCAGGGGAACTTTGCCTCTAAGTTACATCCCCAGTTCTTTTTATTTTCAGACAGGGTCTTACTGAATTGTTGAGACCGACCTCAAATTTGCAATCCTCTTGCCTCAGCCTTCCAAGTTGATGAAATTATATGTATGATTTAATATTGTTCCAGACTGTATCATGAGAGGTATATTAGACCAAGAATGAGAGCTGATGTTTCTTGGCTGCATTTCGTGGTATTTTCCCATTCATGCAGCATCTGTGCTTTTCTTCTCTCAGCTCTTTTATCCTCCTAAAATAGTGTTCCCCTCAGCCCCTTCTTCCCCATGGACCTTGTCTACACCCTACTCATTCTTCCAAACACCTACTCCATTGTGTTAGCTTTTTGTCATTGACAAAATACCCAAGATAAACAACTTATAAAAAGGGTGGGTGGCCAGGTGGAGTGGAGCACTCCTGTAATCCCAGTAGCTCAGGAGGTTGAGGCAGGAGGATCTTGAGATCAAAGCCAGCCTCATCAAAAGCAAGGTGCTAAGCAACTCAGTGAGACCCTGTCTCTAAATAAAATACAAAATGAGGCTGAAAATGTAGCTCAGTGTTTTGAGTGCCCCTGAGTTCAATCCCTGATCTCCCACCACCACCAAAAAGAAGGAGGATGAGTGTATTTTGGCTCAAGTTTTGGAGGTTTCATCATGGCCTTTTACTTTTGGGGCCTGTAAGTGAGGAAGCCTTCAACTCATGGCAGCCTGAGGAAGAGGAGAATGGGGTCCCAATATCCTCTTCTATGCTCCCAATAACCTAACTTCTTTCCACTAGACTCTGCCTCCCAAAAGGTTCTACTGCCTTCCAGTAGCAGCACCACAGGCCAGGGCCAAGCCTTCAACACATGAGCTTTTGCAGGTGTTTTAGTCAGCTTTTTTGCTGCTGTGTCTGACGGACCCAACCAGCACAATTATAGAGGAGAAAAGGGCTCACAGTTTCAGTGGTCTTAGTCTATAGAAGGCTGGCTCCATTCCTCAGGGCTCCAGGTAGAACATCATGGCAGAAGAGTGTGACAGAGGGAAGGAGCTCACATTGTGATCAGGAAGCAGAGAGAGACTCTACTGGCCAGATACAAATATATACCCTATGGCCCTGCCCCTAGTGAACCACTTCCTCCAGCCATACCCTACCTGCCTCTAGCTTACCACCCAGTCAATCCTATCATGGATTAATTCACTGATTAGATTAAGACTATAGCCCAATCATTTCTCCTCCAAACCTTGCTTTGTCTCATATGTAAGCTTTTGGGGGCACCACAACTAAACCATAAGTGGAGGCATTCAAGATCCAAACTATAACATCCACTAAACTTTTTCTAAGACTCTTATCTACAAGTAGTCACTTCTACTTTTAAACTCCTAACAGTTTTCTGAACCTCTGTTTTAGCTACTCAGCATTTCTACTCTTGCATTTGGATTAAAGTGCACCACCAAGGGGCTGGGGCTGTAGCTCAGTGGTAGAGCACCTGCTTTGCACGTGTGAGGACCTGGATTTGATCCTCAGCACCACATAAAAATGAATAAATAAAGATATTGTGTCTATCTACAACTAAATAAATAAATAAAAGTGCACCACCATCTTTTTATTACACTATGCAGTCCTTAAAACTGAAGTCTGTCTCTGTCTCTAAATAGCTACACACTACCTCAGAATATCTTTGTTGAATGGGATATCTTGAGCACAGCTCTGCTCTTCTTCACGCCCAGTCATCATGAAATTGTCAATCTTCTAGTTTGTTTCTCATTACAAATAGGGCAAAGAGGAAGAATCAAGATCTGTTTTTTAATAGCCATAGTATTGGGGCTGGAATGCTGCTCAGTGGTAGAGTGTTTACTTACCTTGTGCAAGGTCCTAGGTTCATCCCAACACAAAAAAAGAAAGAAAGGTCTATAACATTTATCTTTAGGCAAACTGAGCCCAACTAAAAACAAAATTTCAAAGTGAATCTTTCATAACTCTTTCACTCTACTTTCTTCTTTTCTTAATTTTTTTTTTTTTTTTTTTTAGTTGACAGAATGCCTTTATTTTATTTTTGTTAATTTGTATGTGGTGCTGAGGATTGAACCCAGTGCCTCATGCATGCTAGGCAAGTGCTTTGCCACTAAGCTATAGCCCCAGCTCATCTTCTTTCTTTTTCTTCTCCTAGGACCCTGTCTTTTGGGCCCCACATTGCCTCAAGTCCCAAAATAGCCCAGTTTAATCCAGGCTCAGTGGCAGAAGCCTATAATAATCCCAGGTACTCAGGAGGCTGAGGCTGGAGGATTGCAGGGTGGAGCCCAACAAGGGGTAATTTAGCCCAACCATGTCTCAAAGGGCTGAAAGCATAACTGAGTGGTAGAACACTTGCCTAACATGTAAGAGGCCCTATATTCAATACCCAGTACCCCCCCACACAAAAAAAAGTTTACATCAATCATATTCTCAAAATGCCAGGTGTTAGGAAATTATTTCAATTTAGCCAAGTGATCAGATATGAATGCCTTAAATAATCCCTCATTTAACTCTCCATGGGAAAGCATTTATGGTTTAAAAATTAAACGTTGCTAGGCACAGTAGCATACATCTGTAATTCTAGCAACTTGGAGGCTGAAGCAGGAGGATTACAAGTTCCAGGCCAGCCTCAGCAACTTAGCAAGTCCCTAAGCAACTTTGTGAGGTCTTGTTTCAAAACAAAAAATAAAAAGGACAGGGGATGTGGTTCAGTGGTAAAAAGAACCTCTGACTTCAATCCCCAGTATCAAAAAATAAAAATTAAAAAGGAAAAATTTTATGCACTGTGAAGGAGACATTTGTTATATAAATGAAAAGTCTGAAAATGGAAAGGGTAGGGTTTTACAGCTCAGATTCTCCTCCCTCTTCTGATAAGAATTTAGTGCTGCCATTTTATGATCAGAAAGTTACATATATTAATGGGTAAACATAGCATTGATTTTATTAAACCCTAAATTAATTTTTTAACTTGTTGCTCTCTTTTTGAAACTTCTAGGAGGATGGTTTGTTTATCAGCAGAGGAATGAAGTTCATAATAACTGTGGCATCGAGATATACTACCAAACAGACATGCAGAGCACCTCGGAGAACATGTTTCTAGAACTTTTCTGTCAGATTATCTCTGAGCCTTGCTTCAATACCCTGCGTACCAAGGAGCAGCTGGGTGAGAAGGAAGTGGGGTAATAGCAAGATACTATAGACCTTAACGAAAAACAGTTGTCCTCAGAAAACATTCTCCACATGTAGAAGAGAGACTTGTGAAAACCTTGTTGACAGAGAATTCACTTCTAAAAGATAAGCAATCCAAGCTGGGGGTGTAGTTCAGTGGTAGAATGCTTGTCTTGTATGCACAGAATCCTGGGTTCTATCCCCAGCACCTTCATATAAATAAGATAGATAAGCAGTCAATATCTTGTAGATATCAAAGCACTTCTTAATGAGATGACCCTGTATTTATATTACATACATGTCAATAAAGAAGACATTTCAGGTAGAGAGGAGAGAGTGCTGAGGGCAGACTCAAGAGTAGCAAAATAGAAAGCAGCCCTTCAGAGGAGCTTGGATTCACCAAACAAGTTCCCTGAGGGCAGGTATTCTCTCTTATTCATCACTATATCCCAAACCTGGGACACATACAAGGTACTCGGAATGTATTTGCAAAATTTTAGGCACTGGTAAAAGTCTTAGACTTCCTGGCAGATTTAATAAATGAGTAAAGAAGTTCAAGAAGCCAAGCGCCATGAAGCATTCCTGTAATCCCAGTGGCTTGAGGCAGGAGGATCTTGAGTTCAAAGCCAGCCTCAGCAAAAGTGAGATGCTAAGCAACTCAGTGAGAGCCTTTTTCTAAATAAAATACAAAATAGGACTGGAGATGTGGCTTAGTGGTCAAGTGCCCCTGAGTTCAGTCCCTGGTACTCTGCCCCACCCCCAAAAAAAGTTCAAGAAGGCCCTTGTTAATGGCAGAGAGGAACCAGTGAAAGAGGATTTGGTAAGTCTCTCTTGATACCTGTAATTTTTTTTAAAACGCCATGCTAGGAACTATACAAATGGTTATGTTATGGATAGTCTTTAAGAGTGTTCGAAGTATAAAAGCTCTGCTGAAGATAGTGACTTCCTCAGAATTAGAGTCCAAACACAATGAAGTTGTCAGAGGTGCAGAACAGCAGAAGGAAGCAAGCCAAGAACTCAGTTTAGAAAGTCCTTGAAGCACTGTGTTCATGGCATCACCAGATGCCAATGGAGGTATAACCTTTAGTTAGCCCAGTCTCTGTAGAGTTACAGTCTGAATAGAGTAGGTCCAGGAATGGATTATCTAATAAGAAATGCAGTGGTAGAGCCAGGTTCATATAAGGAACTTAGATACTAAAAGCAGATAACTGGGACAGTAGATAGGGATGAAAATGAGTACAGCATGTCATGGGAATGCGAATTACTTAAGCTTAGATTGAAGGGGATTAACTAACAAAAAGTGAGGAGGTGGAATGTGAGTTCAAATAATGAATGGGGTTGTTTGGAGATTTTTTTGTTTTGTTTTTCCCAAAGAAGAAAAAGTCATCTCCAACTTTCTAACTAGTCTTCAGCGAGCTCTTCTTCTCTGTCTTTAGAAACTGAGACTGTCTTAATATTTTTTCAAGGATAGATAATCTAAAATTCTAAAGTAGATTTTATTGCTCCAAAAGATTAAAAGTGGCCTAAGTCTCAAATGCCAAGATCCTGACTGGTTGATGTTTGTGTTTTAGGTTACATTGTCTTCAGTGGGCCACGTCGAGCTAATGGTATACAGGGCTTGCGCTTCATCATCCAGTCAGAAAAGCCACCACACTACCTAGAAAGCAGAGTGGAAGCTTTCTTAATTACTATGGAAAAGTCCATAGAGGACATGACAGAAGAAGCCTTCCAAAAACATATTCAGGCATTAGCAATTCGTCGACTTGACAAACCAAAGAAATTATCTGCAGAGTGTGCTAAATATTGGGGAGAAATCATCTCCCAGCAATACAATTTTGACAGAGGTAAGGTAAAATTAGAACCCCAACATATTATGGCACTTAAATGTAAAATTTGAGAACATTGAGGCCATTCTACAAAAGGGTGTATATTTTGTGATTTGGCAGTAGAGTAGGGATGGCACTTTAAAAGAACTGTTATTTATTTATTTATTTTTTTAAAGAAACCTTCTTGTTATTTAAGATTCACACTAATTAGATGAATAAAAAATACAAAAGTAGCATTGGGCTGGGATAGTGGCTCAGTGGTAGAGCGCTCGCCTCGCACATGGGAGACCCTGGGTTCGATCCTTGGCACCACATAAAAATAGATAAGTGAAATAAAGGTATTGCATCCAACTACAACTAAATAAATAAGTACAAAAGTAGCATGGAATAATATCACAATTTTAAAAAATCTTTGTTTAATTCTAAGTTCTTCCAAATGTATTTTCTAACAAATACAGCTTTTTGGTGAAATGAAATAATAATGTACACATTGCTTTAAATACTTTTCATGATCAAATATAGCAGAGCCACATTTTAATATCCATAAACATGTACAAATACTTTAAGTACTAATGACTTTTTCCTATATTGGACATTCCAAAAATGGAAATAAATATGTCAAATATTATGGACATATACTAAAATGTGAACATTCTATATTTAACATTGTTATTAGTAATAATATTTTGGTAAACATCTATGTACAGTAATTTATTTATTTGATTTTTTAGCTAAATGACAGTGGAATGCATTACAATTCATATTACACATATAGAGCACAATTTTTCATATCTCTGGTTGTATATAAAGTATATTCACACCAATTCATGTCTTCATACATGTACTTTAGATAATGATGTTCATCATATTCCACCATCATTGCTAATCCCCTGTCCCCTCTCTTCCCATCCACCCCTAAAAATTTCCTATGAGGAACCTTATCTCCTTTTCTTCTCCAAAACTACAGCTAGATCTCCCTGTAACTCACATTGGTATATTAATAACAAATCTAATTTCACTTGTTTGTTTGTTCTATCAGTGTACCCCTGAGACTCTGAGCACAGATACGTAGGTACCTATTTCCCATAACACTGAAAAAATGAAAAATCTGTAGATTGAATTCCCTTAAGGCGAGGAATGATGGTGCACACCTGTAATCCCACAACTCCAGAGCCTCAGCAACTTAGTGAGGCCTTAAGAAATTTAGCAAGACCCTGTCTCAAAATTAAAAAGGCTGGGGATATAACTCAGTGGAAAAGACCCCTGCCCCTTCCCACCCCCCCAAAAAAAAGAATGAATTAATCCCCTTGAGCCAGGTAGTGCCCTAGAGGCATGGGATTTCAAACATTTTCTTTAGGGTTCTCCTAAAACTTTCACAGCTTTCAGATTTGGAAGATCTGTGCTTTCTGAAGTCCCCTGTCAGCTTCCTCTTACCTTTCCTCCAGAACAGAGATCAATAATAGAGTGCACTAAGCCACACTAGAAGTTAGGGGAGTTGAGTAGTGTATATATTCTGATATCAACAAGTTGAAGATTTTGGCCAAATCACCTTTTTGAGGCCTCAGTTTCCTGTAATTTTTTCTAGAAGTTGGATTCACTACAAATGTATCTAGCACTTATTGAGCATTTACCATGTGCATAACATCACATGTCATTTTCTTGATTTTCTCATTACAGCCATATTGAGTAGTTGCCCCAATTTCTAGATGGGGAAACTGAGGCTCGGAAAAGTTGAAGTGAGGGTTGGGGATGAAGCTCAGTTGATAGAGCACTTGCTTGGCATGCACAAGGCCCTGAGTGCAACCCCCAGCACCACATAAAAATAGAAAAGTCAAAGTGACTAACCCAAAATCCAGCAGCAAATAGCAGAGAGCCATGATGTGTAACCAAGGCTGGCCTGGTTCCTAAACCAAGGTTTTTACCTATTGCACTGTATCCACTTACTTTTACTTAAAATCTATTCGCTTTCTACTTGCAGGAGCATATGGTCACCTAAAAATATATTTTTAGCCAGGTGTGGTGGTGCCTACCTATCACCTACCAACTTGGGGTGCTGAAGTAGGAGGATCACAAGTTTGAGGCCAGCGTCAGCAACTTAGCAAGACCCTGTTTCAAAATAAAAAATAAAAAGGACTGGGGATGTAGCTCAGTGGTAGAGCGCCCTTGGATTCAATCTCCAGTATTAAAAAAAAAAAAACTGGATACTTGAAAGGCTTGGAGTGAAATGTATTGTAGTTTATTAGTATTTTTGACTGCTTAATGTGAAAATATTAGAAAACTATTGTTTGATTACTTTTTCAGATAATATAGAAGTTGCATATTTAAAGACCCTTACCAAGGAAGACATCATCAAATTCTACAAGGTAAGTTGAATATATTTATTTACATTTTGAGTGAAGGAAATGTGTTATATGTTGTGTTACTGTTTGACATTCAGCTTGGATTTATGAAGGTGCTTTTGTGAGTTTAAGTATTTTTGACACATTTTGGCCTATTACTCTTAGAAAAAAATAGACAATTCTTATTGAACCCAGTAGTGTCTTGCTTTTCTTCTGAACTGAGGTCTACATTGGCTCTTCCTGCCTTCTAAATCCACCTCTCTGAACTCTCCCTCACCCCCTCTTTTTTTTTTTTTTTTTTTTTTGGTACCAGGGAATTGAACTCGGGGACAGTCAACTACTGAGCCAAATCCCCAGCCCTTTTTTGTATTTTATTTAGAGACAGGGTCTCACCCAGTTGCTTAGCACCTTGTGTTTTTTTGTTTTTTTTCTGGGCTGGCTTTAAACTCATGATTCTCCTGCCTCAGCTTCCCAAGCCCCTGGGATTACAGGTGTTTGCCACCGTGCCCAGCTGTTCCTTTGTTTCTACTCCACTACAAAGAACATTGCTCAGCTTGTTTGGTGGGGAGGAAGAACAAAAAAAAAAAAAAAAAAAAAAACTGGAGAATCAGATTATTTTCCAGGCTCTGACAACTACACATTGTTTTCACCTACTTAGGAGCAACTGTGCCTCCTTTTTTAAATACATAATTACTCCCCTTTGAACTGTGTTCAGAAATCTTATGAGCTTTAAATGCCTGTGCTTAATGAGAAAGTTTATCATGCAGAGAAAAGAAGCATTAAAGTCTTCCCAGAACAACTTTAAGAAGTTCACATCAGGGGCTGGGGTTGTGGCTCAGTGGTAGAGCGCTCGTCTAGCATGCATGAGGCATTGGGTTCGATCCTCAGCACCACATAAAAATAAAATAATGTGTCCACCTAAAACTAAAAAAAAAAAAGAAAAGAAAAGAAATAAATATTTTTAAAAAAAGAAGTTCACATCATCTAAATTTTCCCCTCCATAATAAAATCTTAAGAATAGCAAAATTTGTAGTAAGTAGTCATATAAT